TTTCGCCCGGCGCGCCTCTTCGTGGGGCATGGTGAACCCATATACAAATTATTAAGGTTTTGTTGCCCTGTTGAAGGTGCAATACGATCAAGTGCAGCGCAGGGTGCAGCAAGTCGTAAAGGCGCGAGTCCCAGCTGCTGCTCGGACGGTGGATCTGAGTGGGCCCCCAGCCCTCAGGCCAGTACGCCCCATGGAGACGTCAAATCGCCGCGTTTCAGTCTTATAGATTGTATATGGAGCAGATTGAACCCATGGACAGCGCTGATCCTCATACGCGGACCTGCGTGACGTGTGTGCCGGTATCTCTTCTGTCGGCCTCGGGAGTCACAGTTGGGTGGACGGCTCGCCTTGATATCAGAGCCTAAACGCGCTGAATTCCGCGCACAACGTGTACCGAGACGAACCTATCAACAAGGACAAGCCCTTTCAAACCCTTCATCCCCCAAACCACTCTCAACATGCGCGCCGCCATCAGCTGCCGCAGCGGCGTGGCTTCGGCCCCGGCCCGCTCCCCCAGGCCTGCCCGCGCCCAGCGCGCGGCGCTTGTTGTGCTTGCAGGTGCGAGGCTGCGGGCCTTTTGGGTGGGGGGCTGCGCATCGCAGACCAGCCCCGGCCCAGCCTGCCGCTGTGGCTCGCAGCTTCTCCCAGGCCCGCATGTTGAACTGCTGTAGTGCCATCTATATGAGCCGCCCGCAGGCTGTATGTGCACGGCACGACAGCGGGACCCGGCGCCATGCGCATATTGCTTACGCAGTGCCCCAATCGCGCCCTTACTGCCTCGCCTCTCCGGGCTTTGCACCGATTCCTCTGCACTCCCTTCTGTGTCCTGTCCACCCTGCAGCGGCCGGCAAGGAGAACCCCTACCACGACCGCAAGCACACCGCTGCCAGCAACCCGTGAGTTTGAATGGGTCCCATTTGCAGCAGTCAGTTCCATGGTGTGGGGCAGTGACAAATTGAACCAAGCCACTAGTCCCCGCTCTCAATCTCCTTGATTGATTGTTCACGACTGTCGGCCCCATGTGCATGTTTTGCCTCAACCCCCACTCTCTTGACGCAACGCGGGCACCAAGACCCCTGCCCTACACAAGTGAATTCCCACTCACGCCCCCAAGACTGCTCAAGACAGCCATGTCCCAACTCACGCCCCCAAGACTGCCCAACACAGCCATGTCCCAACTCTCATTAACCTCGACACCACCATCACTCTACCAACCCCCCCCAGCGGCGGTACCAAGGACGCTGGTAAGGTGCACGCTGACAAGAAGCAGCAGTTTGAGTACCAGCAGGAGCGCCTGGAGTGGCGGCGCAAGAATCAGCAGGGCGGCGACAACGACGCCGACCGCGACGTGAGGCCGGGGCGCTCTTTCGAAGGGGTTCATTTCGAGGAAGTTGCGGGAAGTTGCCAGGGGTGGTGCGAGCAGGGGCGTGTGTTGTGTGTTGAACCGGAAGGGGCAAAGCAAGGGCACATCAAATGTGGCAAATCTGACAGGGAGAAACTGGTTCTGATGAGGGTGCAGCCTTCCAGCCAGCATGGGGATGCGGGTTTCTCCTCTTGAGTAGTCCTGCCCACACCCGGATGTGTCCAACCGGAGCATCACACATTGCAATTGTACAATCTGGTTGACAACTCAACGCAAGCCCAGTGAAGCATCGATCGGGTCATTAGTAGGTGGGCATTCTATCTGATTATACTCTCTGTTGATCTCTTGCCTTATTTCTGCACAGGAGCCTGCGCACACCAACATGGGCGTCAAGAACGAGGTGGGTTGGCGTGTGGTGTGGAAATGTTGGATTTGTACGGGTAGCGGTGTAAGCCCGATTGGTAGATGTGGTTGTGCGCTAAGTAACCAGCTGCCTAGCTTGTCGCACTGCGCAATCACCATTGCCCTTTCAACCTCCCTCCACATCGTGCGGTTCTGACGCTGTTGTGGTTCATCGTCAATCGTGCCACTCTTGGTCTGCGCAGGGCAGCCACAACTCGGGCAACAACCTGCCGCTGAGCGACGAGCCGTCTGGGGCGGCCAAGCTGGTCAACAAGGTGGTCCGCAAGATCACCGGCAAGGATGATGAGTGATGTGCGCGGCGAGTACGTATTCTTCTACTAGTTGGGTTACCTTACCAGCAGATCCGGCGCCAACAGCACTCAGGCGTGAGGATGTGAGCAGAAAAAACGGTTTGTCTAAACAACACCCGTCCGTTTGGGTGGACACGGATGATATGTGGTGACGATCCAAATTTTCCAAAGATTTTGATGGTGTTTTGATGGAGGTGATTGATAACAGGCAAGTTTTGTTCGGGAGTGCTGGGAGTTTTGCACATTCACCACACCTTCCCAGCCAGGTGTTCAAAGCTGCACTTGCAGGCTGTATGTGCCTGCTATCAAACGGAATTGACGCGTTATGTGGTGCGGATGATGTTGCTGTTGATCCCTACCCAACAGGTTGCTTGAGGAAGAATGAGTTGAAGGCGTGATGGTTGGCTGCAATGCAAATAGTTGT